AACCTAATGGTTTCAGTTCAAAACTTAAGTAGCAAAATGTAGGTGCACAGTAATAAGCTTCTTGTGATGCACGTTAGGTAACACTGAACCTAATGGTTTCAGTTCAAAACTTAAGTTAGCAAAATGTAGGTGCACAGTAACAAGCTTCTTGTGATGCACGTTAGGTAACACTGAACCTAATGGTTTCAGTTCAAAACTTAAGTAGCAAAATGTAGGTGCACAGTAACAAGCTTCTTGTGATGCACGTTAGGTAACACTGAACCTAATGGTTTCAGTTCAAAACTTAAGCAGCAAAATGTAGGTGCACAGTAACAAGCTTCTTGTGATGCACGTTAGGTAACACTGAACCTAATGGTTTCAGTTCAAAACTTAAGTAGCAAAATGTAGGTGCACAGTAACAAGCTTCTTGTGATGCACGTTAGGTAACACTGAACCTAATGGTTTCAGTTCAAAACTTAAGTAGCAAAATGTAGGTGCACAGTAACAAGCTTCTTGTGATGCACGTTAGGTAACACTGAACCTAATGGTTTCAGTTCAAAACTTAAGTAGCAAAATGTAGGTGCACAGTAACAAGCTTCTTGTGATGCACGTTAGGTAACACTGAACCTAATGGTTTCAGTTCAAAACTTAAGTAGCAAAATGTAGGTGCACAGTAATAAGCTTCTTGTGATGCACGTTAGGTAACACTGAACCTAATGGTTTCAGTTCAAAACTTAAGTAGCAAAATGTAGGTGCACAGTAACAAGCTTCTTGTGATGCACGTTAGGTAACACTGAACCTAATGGTTTCAGTTCAAAACTTAAGTAGCAAAATGTAGGTGCACAGTAACAAGCTTCTTGTGATGCACGTTAGGTAACACTGAACCTAATGGTTTCAGTTCAAAACTTAAGTAGCAAAATGTAGGTGCACAGTAACAAGCTTCTTGTGATGCACGTTAGGTAACACTGAACCTGATGGTTTCAGTTCAAAACTTAAGTAGCAAAATGTAGGTGCACAGTAACAAGCTTCTTGTGATGCACGTTAGGTAACACTGAACCTAATGGTTTCAGTTCAAAAACTTAAGTAGCAAAATGTAGGTGCACAGTAATAAGCTTCTTGTGATGCACGTTAGGTAACACTGAACCTAATGGTTTCAGTTCAAAACTTAAGTAGCAAAATGTAGGTGCACAGTAATAAGCTTCTTGTGATGCACGTTAGGTAACACTGAACCTAATGGTTTCAGTTCAAAACTTAAGTAGCAAAATGTAGGTGCACAGTAATAAGCTTCTTGTGATGCACGTTAGGTAACACTGAACCTAATGGTTTCAGTTCAAAACTTAAGTAGCAAAATGTAGGTGCACAGTAACAAGCTTCTTGTGATGCACGTTAGGTAACACTGAACCTGATGGTTTCAGTTCAAAACTTAAGTAGCAAAATGTAGGTGTACAGTAATAAGCTTCTTGTGATGCACGTTAGGTAACACTGAACCTGATGGTTTCAGTTCAAAACTTAAGTAGCAAAATGTAGGTGCACAGTAATAAGCTTCTTGTGATGCACGTTAGGTAACACTGAACCTAATGGTTTCAGTTCAAAACTTAAGTAGCAAAATGTAGGTGCACAGTAACAAGCTTCTTGTGATGCACGTTAGGTAACACTGAACCTGATGGTTTCAGTTCAAAACTTAAGTAGCAAAATGTAGGTGCACAGTAACAAGCTTCTTGTGATGCACGTTAGGTAACACTGAACCTAATGGTTTCAGTTCAAAACTTAAGTAGCAAAATGTAGGTGCACAGTAATAAGCTTCTTGTGATGCACGTTAGGTAACACTGAACCTAATGGTTTCAGTTCAAAACTTAAGTAGCAAAATGTAGGTGCACAGTAACAAGCTTCTTGTGATGCACGTTAGGTAACACTGAACCTGATGGTTTCAGTTCAAAACTTAAGTAGCAAAATGTAGGTGCACAGTAACAAGCTTCTTGTGATGCACGTTAGGTAACACTGAACCTGATGGTTTGAGTTCAAAACTTAAGTAGCAAAATGTAGGTGCACAGTAACAAGCTTCTTGTGATGCACGTTAGGTAACACTGAACCTGATGGTTTCAGTTCAAAACTTAAGTAGCAAAATGTAGGTGCACAGTAACAAGCTTCTTGTGATGCACGTTAGGTAACACTGAACCTGATTTATATTTGTCTTTCTAACAGCAAACGACCCCATAATTCAGAAGCAATAATTTCTTAAAGGACATATGTGAATGTAATTTAAAAAAATATATATAACTATAAATAAATAAAAACCTGTTCTTTAACTAATAATGACTAATATCCCAATAAAATAATGCAATATTAGATGCAGGGACTTGATGGGGCCACAGGTGTCGGGTTCCAGTCACATAGGTGCCATGAATGTTTGTAGTGGTTTCGGAGTTGACTTCAAACCGGTACAATGTGACTGTTGGGAGTAGGGCTGACACCCCTACCTTATAAAAAGAAACCATCTCCTGTTTCGAAATCTGTCAGTAAGCCTTGGTTCATCATAGGCTGTAGTGCTAGGGAGTTAGTTAATTAAAATTATATGCTAGAATTGTTAATAATGTATTCAATACAATAACATTGCCTTAAAAATGTTGCAGTTTTAAAAAAAGTTCCTTTAATTTAGAATTTTTTTTTCTTCTAATGCAGCTGCTAAACACTTAGGCAGTTGTCATTTATGCCTTAAGGCAAGCGCTGCACCGACGTTACTTACTTAGCAATACCCAGGAAGTGCACTTAGCTTGAAGATAAGCTACGGACGCGGAGTAAGAATACCCCCGCAACGCTCTACGATCCTGTTAGACGGGGATCTACAAGTTAAAGTGGATTCCGAATAGCATCAAACATCCATGGCACCGCCGGGACTCGAATTCGAAACCTGTGGGATCCAGCGCCAGCCACTCGCCCATCAGGCCCCGGTTTATAGAACATTATTATAAATAAAAGATGGACCCAAAATTGTTCCAAGATTTTAAAACAAAATTATAATAGAAATTCGCTAAATTTTTTGAAAAACAAAAATACATTCACCATACTTGTGAACAATATGGGAATGGTCTTTTATAATTTATGTACATTTACAAATTATTATTATTATTTTGGGAGGGGGGAACTTTCTGATTTGCAGCCAATAAAACATGAATAAAAAGTAATCAAAACCGAAATTAAATTTTTCTACTCTTATAAATCTTGTCCTTGAAAGATTAAATGTGAATATCACACAAAAATACTTTGGTAACATTTTTTTTCATTAATAATATTTCAAAACATGGTTATAAATGGTTAATATAAAATAAATTTTTATATATTTGTTAGTTTCAGCACTTATTTAAGCAACTTAATTTGAATAATTTTTCATTGTTTGAATTGGCAAGAGTTTAGTGAATTATTTATTTTTTTTTTTTTAATTTTCAGCAAAATATATTATAATTTAACATTTATGAATATGAGAAGCTTACGATATCTGTACATATTCTGTTAAAAGATGTTTTAAAATTAGATAAAAAAAATATTAATAAAATTCATAAAAATATCGATTTTTTTAAATGATCCCTCTATATATTTAAAGAAAGGGAAGAATGCCAAGTCTCATTAAAAATAAAAAAAATGCATAAATCAAAATTTTCCCACTCATGATTCTATATGAGATTTTTAACAGGATGACAGCTTTAAAGAATGAGTTATATTTTAATAACAGCATTTTTCTACCATTGCAAAATTTCCAAGTGATGCATCACAACTGAATCATTTAAGCTTATCATCGAAGTAAAGCACTTATTTTAACTGTTTTCTTATCCAAATCAAACTATTTTGTTGTCTTACCTCTGATTACCTTCTTTCGTTGCTAACTTCACTTGGATTTCTTCATTATGTAGATAATCTTGGATTGTCTTCTCAGTTGTAAGAGGACAAAATTTACATTCATCAGCACCTTTCTTCCGATTTCCTTTCGCTTTTATTTTCTGAGTCATTTATAAGAGAAGAATAACCAAATGTAACAACCATGAAACAATGATCAGGAAAATAACAAGAGCAAAAACTATTAGCTACGATCTTCGTAACGGGGTAGGTTGGGTAGGCAAAAAAATTAAAGTTGCAAGCGAAAAAAAGTCCGCTGTTACTGTAAAAAACGCCTGGCCCTGTTTTTTGTCCCAAAATGTTTCAAAATAAAGTGCGTCTGATACACAAAAAATGCATTTAATATTCCCTTCAAATGTGTACATATTTGAAAAAGTTTAAGGTCTTATAAAAGGAAACTTCTTAAAATATAGTATTTAATACTACACTGACTAGCGTAGCACTATTCTTCGCAGAAGAGCCAGCTTTGAGGAATTGAGTTGTGAGTTATTGCCAAGACGCACACAGAAGTTTTGAGCATGCTTTTATTGCTGAGCAACAGTTGACGTCAGACCTTTTCACTTTGATGGGTTCTCTATTGCAGAACGTTACAGTCAGTGTTTGCCATAATGTTGCAGTTGGAGGGGTGGTGGTGCGTGTCACGGAGCCACATAGAAATGTGAAAGTGTAACTGATATTTTTTTTTATAAATGTCTGTTGTGTCGTAAAATAAAATCCGGGTATGCATAAATGCATACTAAAACTCTGCACGCTGACAAAATATGGTAAACCCATGTAAATGAAATACATTATATTAATTCAGACTAAAGTTGCATTTTCATCGAGACCTAAACTTGGGTGGAAAGGACAAGTTCCTTTGATGACGCCATTCAGACAAAAAAACTTAGTTTTCCGACTCTTTTAATCTAAGTTTCCTATTGGTTTCTTTGATTTTCGCTAAACTCCTTGAGTCAAAAAGTTGCATGAAATTCAAGCCGAAAGCATCATTTGGAACGTTGGTAAAAAAAAACAAGATTCTAATTGGCTGGCGATTTAAATTATGACTCTTTGATGGAAAACACCAGTTTAACTGTTACAAAGCTTTCATCATCTCCTTGTTGAAGCTATTCCACATGACAACAAATTGGTTGCCAACGGCCATACCATGCTGAATATACCGGTTCTCGTTAGATCACCGAAGTCAAGCATCATTGGTACTTGGCTGGGTGACCACCTCGGAACACCGCGGGCCGTTGGCATTCACAAATTTAGGACCTGAATGGCCGAGTGTCTAGCGCTCTGGCTCTCGGTGCCACAGGTTTCGGGTTCGAATCCCGGCGGTGCCATGGATGTTTGTAGTGGTTCGGAATCCACTTTAAGCCGTAGGTCCCGGTCTCCTATGACTGTAAGAGCGTCACGGAGCCAAAATCAGACTTCTACCTACGGGTGCTCCATCACAACAGAAGCTGCTTCCTTCCCCTTCAATCATGAGTACGTATGGGCTCGTGGGCTTGGCCAGCCAAGTGGGATAAGAAACAACAACAACAAATTGGTTAAAATAAATAATTTTTTTTGACAAGAAATTATATATTTTATAGCAGTGCTTTTAACTCTAAGTTAGCCCTGATATTAAAAATAATCCTTTTGTATAATTATTCTGAATAGGAACAAGGGAAATTAAAGTTGTGCTAGAAATTATTACAACAATCACTATTTTAATTCTTTTAAATGTTTTTGAAAATATTTGACTTCATCTTTAGGGCATTTTCCCTTACAAACTAGAAGGTTTTCCAAATGTTGAATTAGGGAAAGTGAATAACAGAACAAAAAAATAAAATAAAAAGTTATTGCGTTATTCTACCTAATGAAAGTTTTTATATGTTTAACTGCTAAAATGTTCCTGTGGGAGCTCGTGGCTCAGTAAAATGACTCGTAGCTAAGTGGTAACGTGCGCCGCTGGTGAGCATTAAGGCAGAATTGTTGTAGACACTGTTTCAAAAACTAGGAGATTCGATGGTGTTTGTGATATTCAGCATCTTGCCACGTGAGTCGGACTGCTTGATGGGAGTTTTCTCCTATACGATACGTAAATGCTGGGTAGTTTCTCCTAAAAGTCCTCCCGGAAGACACTGCCATCCTTCTTCAGCGACTCGGAACCAAGTCAGATTTCTAGCCAAGGGTGCTCCATCACAGCAGAAGCTGTCCCCTTTCCATCTATTCATACTTAGACTACTCATGGGATGTCCGCCCCACGCTTGTTGGGCACTGAGTATGAGCTACGACAACTGTTAAAATGCAAACAAAATTTTTTAATTTTATTAAAATTTTTTTTTCATTAAACCATATACGTTTGAATTTAATTTTAATGTGAATTGAATAAATAACAAATAAATACATTTTTCGCAAATCATAAATTTTTTATGTGAATAAATAAGGATTTCTACAATCATTTCTTATGTTGATCAAGATTTATATCTAATAATACTGCTCACTCTTGTAATCATATCCAATCATGCTAAATAGTAATTTCAAATCTTAAACATATCGTAAATAGATATATTTTGAAAACAAATAGCATCTTCTTAAAACACAAAGAAAATTTGAATCATGTCGTAAAACCAGCATTTTCTGAAAACTATAAATGTCTTTTTACCATTCAGTAAATGATAGATAAATTCTTTCTGAAGATGAATCATTTATGGCTTTTGCAATGGGTTATAAAAGTGATTCAACATTTTATTTTGCTTTATGAAAAATAAAAAAATATTCTCAGACAATTGACAATGCAATCGACTTCCATTTATGAATAACTATTAAAGATGTCATATTTCAACCTTTAAAAAATATTTGATAAAAGGAAAAAAAAATATTTAATTGTAAAATAAAATGATTCGGGATTTAAATTCCTTAAAAAATTGAAATCAAGCCCCAATATTTTTTAAATGAAGTAATATATTGAATGTTATTTTTCATTTAACATTTGAAAGTAGTGTTCATGTAACAAATTTTTTTTTCTCCATCATTGAAGGAGATATACTTTAATTGCGTCATATTTAAATGATTTTCTAAAAATACCTCATGACTTCAACCTGCAATGCGGGATATGTTTCAAAATCTCCTATGAGAAAGCAATTATTTGTTATGAAAGACGTCGTTGTAGTTGCAAACCGTTGTAACCGCAAACTGTGCCAAGAATAATAAAATTAGTGACTTGCTTTTACATTCTAAATGTTTTCCTTATTTAAAGTGAATATTCAGATGGATTATCTGCACGTAGGCAGACGGCCTTGGCCCACCATGGGGCTGTTGCGCGAATGAAGAAGAAGAAAATACAGATGGGCTTACATAAAAGAATTTATAATACTTTATTTAAATAACTATTTAAGTATTTTATATTATTTTATTTTTCAAAGTAAATAGGCCTCTAAGCATCAAACATATTTTCAAAAACATTTTCTTCTGTGCCAGTCATTGGTAACGGTAACCACAGATTTCTACTCAATAAATATTATGATACCTAAAATAAATATAAAAACAATTCGATGAATAGGATGGCATAAAAATTGCTATTGTTTTTTTATAGTGTTGTTAAAAAATATCATAATTTTTGAAATAGTAGTCTGCAACTTTTGAATCTCTTCTTTTCCTTTGAAAAATTTTAAAAAATAGCAACTACACTCCACTATTACTAAAGCTTTGTTTTCATTTTTTAACATAATACACTGAAGTGACAAAAGTCATGGGATAGCAATATGCAAATTTTCAGATGGCAGTAGCATCGCGTAGAACAGGTATAAATGTGCAGTGCTTTCGCAGAGCTTTCATTTCTGTTCAAGTTATTCATATGAAGAGGTTTTGACGTGATGATGACCGCACGACGGAAATTAACAGACTTTGAACGCGGAATGTTAGTTGGAGCTAGACGCATGGGTCATGCCATTTTGGAAATCGTTAGGGAATTCAACATTCCCAGATCCACTGTGTCAAGAGTGTGCCGAGAGTATGAAATTTCAGGCATAACATCCCACCATGGACAGCGCAGTGGTCGACCGCCTGCACTTAACGACCGAGACCGGCGACGTCTGCAAAGAGTCGTAAATTCTAACAGACAAGCAACACTGCGTCAAATAACCGCAGAAATCAATTTGGGACGTACAAGGGACTTGTCTGTTAGAACTGTGCGGAGAAATTTGGCTTTCTTGGGCTATTCCAGCAGAAGACCGACTCGAGTGCCTTTACTGACAGAACGACATCGCTTGCAGCGACTCTCGTGGGCACGTGAGCATATCGGTTGGTCCCTAGATGAATGGAATCCCCGATGAGTCAAGATTTCAGTTGGTAAGAGCTGATGGTAGGGTTCGAGTGTGGCGCAGATCCCACGAAGCCATGGACCCAAACTGTCAGCAAGGCACTGTTCAAGCTGGTGGTGGCTCCGTAATGGTGTGGACTGTTTTTTCATGGCATGGACTTGGTCCTCTGGTGCGACTGGACCGAACATTGACTGGAAATGCTTATGTTCAGCTAATTGGAGATCACTTGCAGCCATTCATGGACTTCATGTACCCAAGCAACGATGGGATTTTTATGGATGACAATGCGCCATGTCACCGGGCCACAACCTGTTCGCGATTGGTTTGAAGAACATTCTGAACAATTCCAACGAATGATCTGGCCCCCTAGATCGCCCGACATGAATCCCATCGAGCATTTATGGGACATCATCGAGAGGTCTGTTCGTGCCCAAAATCCTGCACCATCAACGCTTTCACAATTATGGACGTCTATCGAGACAGCATGGCTCAATATTCCTGCAGAAGACTTCCAACGACTTGTTGAGTCCATGCCACGTCGAGTTGCTACACTTCGCCGGGCGAAAGGAGGGCCGACACGATATTAAGAGGTATCCCATGACTTTTGTCACTTCAGTGTATGTTACAAAGGTAATTATATCATTATTTTCCAACGTATATATATTTGCATACATTTAGGAGCTTCAAATATTAATTTTAAGAATTAATTTCTTCTTACATTTAAATCTGAAAATATTATCGACTGAAAATCAATTAACAGCCACTTAAATTTTACCATTATTATCTATTTATTTTACTGTTGAAATAGTTGTTCTAATGCAGCTGGCAAACACTTAGACAGCTTGGTCTTGGATGCCTTAAGGCAGGCGCTGCACAGGCGTTATTTACTTTGCATTACCCAGGGGGCGCGTGTAACTTGAAGATAAGCCCCGGACGGGGAGTAGCAATGCCCCCGCAACGCTCTACGATCTTATTAGGACCAGGACCTACGGCGTAAAGTGGATTCCGAACCACTACGAACATCCATGGCACAGCCGGGACTCGAACCCGAAACCTGTGGTACCGAGCGCCAGAGCGCTAGCCACTCGGCCATTCAGACCCTGTTGAAATAGTTAAAGGGGTTATTTTTCCCTCATTATTTCAAGGATTTATTTTCCACCATCATGCATTTTAATTATTTTCACTTTAACATTTAAATTCAAATTTTTTTATATTTTCTTTTGTACGCTCGAATTTTGATTAATACTAATCTTTCTCTTACTAGAACATCTATAATTACATACGTAATTTGGAACGACAAAATGGATGTTAATTAGCAATTAACATAGGAAATCTACAGAAAGTTAGAAGTAGGGGAAACTTATACTAGCGCAATGTTGTTTTCGTACTTAAAAAGATAAGAAAATTTGTATCAAGAATTTTAATATCCGTCAGATAAGTTTTCATAGGGCCTGATGATCGAGTGACTAGCACTCTGGCGCCCGTTGCCACAAGTTTTGGATTCGATCCCCAGCGATGCTATGGATGCTTGTAGTTGCTCGGAATCCACTTTAAATCATAGGTCCTGTTCTAATATGACTGTTGGAAGTAGGGCTGACAACCCTACCCTGCGAAAAGAAAACATCTCCTGTCCTGAAATGTCGTGGGGTCCTGAGGTCGTGGGGTCCTGAAATGTCGTGGGGCTGTCACGCCATTGAAGAAGAAGAATTAAGGCATTATTTAGTTTTTGTTGTGTTTTTAGCAGAAAATAATTTATATAGGTTTCTGAATTATTTTTAACCTATTCAAAAATTCGGAACAAAGGAGTTAATATGCATTATCGTTATTGATTATAATAAATGTATTCAAATCTTCTATAAAGCGAAAATCAATCCTCATGACAATAGATATTCTAATTGTAGTCATTCACATTTTTAAAAATTTCTAAATCTTCACACCAAAAAGT